TTGAGAAAACTGGATTTCAACCATGTTTGCAAAATTGTTGTAAATAGACAATAATTCTGATCGAGATTCCATTGGATCATGGTAAATTGATTTGTGTATTCTTCACTCGTGGAGATAACTATTTATAAGAGGCGTAATAACAATCTAACTAGGACTTCTTATCTAAACATAATTTTATAATAATAGACATTCAAATATATACTAAACATAGTATATTTATTATATCATCTACATTAACTAAGGGTGAAGCTCAAATATGGAACATATTGGAGTAGACCTTTCCAAAGAATTACTATTATTTTTGGAAGTTCAAATATAATTCCAATTTTAGTTATTTCGGTCCAAATTACTTTCCCGTTCCAAAAGTTTTAGAAATTCTGAAATCACTCAACTTCTGAAATTTTGATAAGTCTCGAAATTTTTGGAAATTTTATAAACTTTCAGAAAATAAGATCAGATTTAAAAAAAAAAAAAATCAATACAACTAGTTTCACCAATTACTCATTGTGAATCTCGAAGAAAACTTAAAATTAAGTCATCTATATATTCCACATCTATCATAAATAATGATATAACCCAAATATAGTTTAAAACTCGGAATAGAGAAAGAAAGAACATATTCGAACTATCTAATTGAAAAGTTATAGAACGCAATCGAGAGAAATTAATTAGAGACTCGATTCCCACTTTCAACCTACGTCATTAATAACATATCATTCTTTTGCACGATATATTAAAGTAATGACTTGAATTACTAAAAAAAAAAAAAAAAAGTAATGTTTGGGGGTGGATATATAAATAATAATAATAATTATTATAATTATATTAATAATAATATAAGTAGGCCATTAAATTTGAATGTTTCGAATCTTTAGTCTTTAGTAGGCAACTCACATGTGCCATAAATGGGTGGGGCTGCCTCGAACATGACAGGCAAATATTGCTGCCAATTAATCAGCCTGTTTTTTCTCTTGGCTGATTTTGTCTATTTTCAAACTTGTGGGGCTTTTCCCTATCCCACCATTTTTCTTTTTTATTTATTTATTTATTTTTAATTTTTTCAAACGATGCGCAGGATAATATTTCAAAAATGAAAGTTAGAGAATTAGTAGAGAAAAAAAAGAAAAAAAATATATATAATTACAAATATGCCGCCTAGAATTCGTGTGTTGGTAACAACCTAACTGGAAAATAGGAGATTAAAAAAAAATGCGAGTGGATTAGAATTTTGCTTGCGAATTTACAAATTTATTTGAAGGATGGAAAATATGAGGTAAATTTTTTTTAAATGATTTAAAAAATTACGATTATTTGATTAAAGTTTTTAGGTTGATCTAGCGTTAATTACTTTTATATATAAGGTACTCTCGAGAGTTTTCTTTCAAGTATATCTCCCCTTTTAAACTAGAATAATTAACGAGCAATTTTTTTCCTCAACAAGTCTATGTTGGTATTATTAATTTAACATAAAGTGTTGTAAA